GTATTTATCCTGCGGGTCTGGCAGTTGGAGGAGCGGTGCTGGAGGCTGCAGACAACCATGCCTACCCCAATGTCATTGTTGAGATCGCCTACAAGAATGACGACCTGGATCGACTCCGTGCGAAACTTGGGCGTTGGATGCACAACACTTCTGTCCAGGTGGCGATTGGAATCAAAATCAATGCTGCCAACGCCAATCGAACGGCAATCTTGTGCCAGCGTGGCCAGCCCAATCAAGAAGTGGCGTTTGGTCATCCTCGTTTGCCTCCACTTGCGATTTCGTTTCCACTTGCTCTTATCTACACTGGTGTTGCAATGCCACCAGCTTTGGCAGCCCTCGCGAATCCCCAGATCTCCATTGACCTGATTGCCTTGCGGGCGTTTATTGATGGAATCCTCTTAGAGGAAGCTGCAGCACACTAGCCGTACAGAAGCCCAAGCTCCTGCGACAGATTGATTTATTTTAACGATAACAGTCTAGGTTTTTCATTCGTGGAATTTCAATGTCTTTTAGGGCGGGTCTGGCTGCCATCAAATATTCGGACCGTTTTGGGATATTTTCACACAGATAAAAAATATCGTGAAAAAACTGATCTGGCTGTCAATTTTGGATATGATGGAAATCGGATCCTAGTAATACTAGTTGAAATCTATAATACCGTACTATTTATCACAGTATTTGACGTGTTGCACAAGGTTGTCAACCCGCAATATCATGTCAGTTTCTGAAAAGCACGGGTACAGTTCGGGTGAGCATGCTCACGTTCAAGGAGAAGTTGGCGCACAACTTGGTGCCTGAGTGGGAAGAGCACTACGTCAACTACTCGGAGCTCAAGCACCATGTCAAGCAGATTCAGCGGCGCGCGAGCTTCCTCGCCATGTCGTCGGGCGACTACACCGAGTCGAATGAGCCGGAGCGAGCTCGGTTGATCAAGACGTCCAAGCCGACCCACTTCGAAGAGGAGTTCCTCGACGAGTGCGAAAAGGTCGAGAGGTGGTACTGCACGCAGCTGGAAGAGTTCCATAAGCAGTTCGCTCTCTTGCAGGACCAGTACGCCCAAGCGCGGACGAGTCAGGCGCCGCTGGTGCCACCAACCACAGACTTGGACGACGCGCCAGTCGGTCTGTCTCCCTCCCCCTCGAATTCCCTTGAACTTACCTGTATGTAGAGTCGGACGCGTTCACGTTGGAACGGGATTCGATCAAGCAATCCCTCGTCGAACTGTACAAGTTGTTGCGCCTGCTGCAGAACTTTGCACTGTTAAACTACACGGCGCTTCGCAAGGTGCTCAAGAAGCACAAGAAGAAATGCGGCGCGCGCTTTGAAAAGGCCCACCGGTCGCTGAACGACTCGCTGCACGACTACGCGTTCAGTCATGCGCTGCCTGTGAAGGAGAGCATTCTGCATTTAGAGCACTACTTCACCGCGACCTTCCACGACAACGACCGCGTGCTGGCGCTGGCCGAGCTGGACGACTGGAAGGACTCGACGCTCAACTGGCAGAACGTGTACACAGGACTCAAGATGGGCATGTGCATGGTATTGGCCACGTGGCTGCTCTGGGATGACGTGGCGCTGGTTGCGTTGTCGCAGAGTCAAGGGAACCATCCCATTCGACTGTATGACAATACAATTAACATTTGGCGACCAAACTACTTGTGCGATAGAGTGCAAACCAAGGCATACCCGTTCTACCGTGGCGTGGCGCTGTTCCTGTTCTTCCTGTGGCTGTGGGGCGCTACCTTGTATGCGTGGCAAGCGGCCAGAATCAACTACCGGTAGTGTCATTCTGGTCACGTTTTGTTAACCGGACGGTGGATTTTGCAGCTACATTTGTGAATTGGACCCCCACGCGACCCAAGATTTTGCCCACGTGTTTGACGACGCCAGTCACTTGAGCATGCTGTATTTGATCAACTTTATCGTCTACGTCCAAGTGGAAAATCACGTACGTTGATGAATATATATATATATATATCTTACTAATATTTTGCTTCTCGACTCTAGTCCCTACCGGAATACATTTCCAAGGGATATATACCCCTTGTGCTAGCGCTGTACTTTATATTTTTCTTCTTATCGAAAGACTGGGGCCATCAAAGGCGGCTGGTGCGGGTAAGAAATATAAATATTATTACTTTTCCTTGTCGATAAATTATTTTAAGAATATTTATTTGGCCGATGAACAACTAGGTATTGCGAGACATTGTGTTGTTGCCGCTGTTCCCAGTAACGTTTATGCACACGTTTGTGTGCAACTACCTCACAAGTGCGGCGAAAATGAACCAAGTACGACATAATATATATATATATATATTTACGACTTTCAGTTCATTTATCATTGACTTGTACAGGATTTTGCCTGGTCCGTGTGCTTTTTCACGACGGGCGAGTTCCTCGAGCCATCGACGTCGACATCTGCCTGTTCGTCCAACTTTTATTACGCCCGTGTAGCTGTGCCGTTGATCTCCGCCCTTCCTCTGGTAGAAAATTACTTTACAATATATATATATATATAATATTTAGATGAATCCGACGGAATCGATACTATTAGTGGTGGCGATGCGTGCAAAGCCTGCGTCGGGTGTACGAGATGAAGGGGTGGTTTCCTGGGCTTTTGAACGCCATCAAGTACGCGCTGGCCCAACTGGTGGTGCTGTTTGGTTTATTTCATTCATTCTATTCGCCAGTGGAGCCCAGCAACGTCGTGCAGGTACAGTACATATGATGATCACGTCATCGCATATCCCGTATGCGACAACGTCTGTCATCGAGTGTAGGTGCTGTGGGTGGTGCTATTCGTCGTGAGCTCCGTGTACAGTTGGCTGTGGGACGTCGTGATGGACTGGGGACTGGGCCGTCCGCAGAACCATTTCCTCGGCGACGGCCACATGTACTCTAGACGATGGGTGTACTATGGTACGCAAGAATCGCTGGGCAGTTGGAGAGGGTGACGTTTGTATGTATACTCTTTCGTAGCGGCGATGGCGGTGGACTTTGTGCTGTGCTTTTCATGGACGTTGGCTCTGATTCCACCCACAGACGAGTATTCGGTCGTCGTGGGGGTCCTCTTGTACCTCCAGCCCGTGACCATGTTCATGGAGCCCATCCGCCGGTCCATGTGGAGCTGCTTTGCCATGGAGAACGAGCACCTGCGCAACACCCTGGGCTTCCGTAAGGAACGATTCATTCCCCTGCACTTTGAGCGCAAACCGCACAAGAAAGCCACAGACAAGCGAGACGACTCACAGTACGCGGTCAAGGTGGTCGCGCTGGCGGTCGTGGTGGTTGCCTTGAGTGCATCGGCCATCTTCCTCGGCAACTGAGGCGGCATACTGCATACATACTGTAATCAATTGTACTGGGATTAGAGTTGTGGAGTACTACTGTAGTAATAGTATTAATAATAGTAGTAATAGTAATACACGTGCAACGTAGTAATACTACGTACTACTAATAGTAATACTAGTACAGCTCAATGACATGATTGTCTCATGGTCGTTACTTTTGGTTGTACCACAGTATTTGTAGACTTATCAGAAGGTGAAGCATACACTAATTAGTGGAATCATGCAAATAGTGTGATAATTCGAACCTATGAAACTTGTCACACTATTTTCCTGCATTCTTGAAGAGCTCGAATTTTGTGCCCATCGTCCGTCGCCGTCCCGTGCATTGGTCGATTTGAGGATGCTCACGTTCAAGGACAAGCTCGCGCACAACATCGTGCCGGAATGGGAGGAACATTACGTCAACTACTCGGACCTGAAGCACCTCGTCAAGCAGATCCAGAGTCGCATGAGCTTTGAGGAGCTGGACGACCCGTTGGCGTACTGCGACAGCAGCACGTCAGAGCGCGTGCGTCTGCTCAAGACGTCGTCCACGCAGGTCCACTTCGACCAAGAGTTCCTCAACGAATGCGAAAAGGTCGACGCGTGGTACAGTCTGCAGTTATCTGCATGTCAGACCAAGTTTGTTCGCTTGAAGGACGAGTATGCGGACGCGCGGGCGGCGGCAGGGCCATCCATCGAGATCTCCTCTAGCAACGCCATGACTCCCACTTGCAAGGACAGCCACTCGTCGTTGCCCTCCATCGTCCCGACCGAACACTTCAACTCGACCTGTCACTCGATCAAGCAATCGTTCGTAGCGCTATACAAGTCGCTCCGCATGCTGCAAAACTACGCGCTGCTCAACTACACGGCCCTCAACAAGATCCTCAAGAAGCACAAGCGCATCTGCGGCCATGACCGCTTCGAGCCCGAGCACCGTGTGCTCAACTTCTCCCTGCATGAGTTCGCCTTCAGCCACGCGCTGCCTGTGAAAAGCTGCATCGTCGAGCTCGAGGCGTTCGTGACGGCAGCCTTCTTCACCGGTGACCGCGTCCTGGCCCTGGCCGAGCTCGACGACGGCAAGGACACCAACGCCGTCAACTGGCAGCACGTGGTTATGGGCGTCAAGATGGGCGTGTGTATGGTGCTGGCGCTGTGGCTGCTCTGGGACGACGTTGTGGTCGTGTTACTCTGCGACACTGGTGATAAAACGATCGCCAAGTACGTTGAATATCTATTTTGTGTTGATTCTTTCTCAAAAAAAATATATATATATGTTTACCGAACCGAATGATTCGCTTATTAGACTTCAGCGAACCAAAGCGTTCCCGTTCTACCGAGGGATGGCACAAGGCCTGTTCTTCCTTTGGTTGTGGGGAGCCACATTGTATGTGTGGCAAGCTGCCCGCATCAATTACAGGTATATATATATATATTGGACTGGTGTAATATTGATTGAAATCCAATGTTGTAGATATATTTTGGAGCTGGACCCCCATGTGACACCCGCCTTTTCCCAAGTATTCGACGACGCAAGCCACTTGAGCACGGTATACTTTGTCAGCTTTTTGCTGTACATGCAACTGGAACACAAGGTACACTCATATAATTACACCAGAGGTGTGATTTTGCGGTCTAATTCAACGGAATTATGACTTAATAGTCGCTGCCCTTGTACCAATTCGTACCCAGTGGGTATATGCCGCTGCTGTTGGCGATCTATGTGGTTGTGTTCTTTGCCATGAAAGAGTGGAGCCAACAAAAGCGCTTGACGGGGGTATCAATATATATTATTTCGATGCAAATATCACAAAAATATATATTTAGGTGCTGCGAGATATTGTGCTGGTGCCGTTGTTCCACGTCAGCTACTTTCACACGTTTGTCACGAATTACATGACCAGTTCCACGAAATTGAACCAAGTACGCGTATATATATATATATTCTTGTGATACTATTTATAGGATGTGGTGTGGTCACTGTGTTACTTTACCACTGGCGAATTCTTGGACCCAACTTCCGACTCCTGCTCTACCAAGTCCAACACCATGCATGTGCTCGTGCCACTGATCTCTGCCCTACCCTTTGTACGTACTCTCATATATATCTATAATAGATATATATTCGAATTCCATGAGTTTTGGGATATATTATATGTCGTGCGTAGTGGTGGCGGTTTCTGCAGTGCCTGCGCCGTGTGTACGACATGAAGAATTGGTTTCCGGGGGTTCTGAATGCCCTAAAATACGCCTTGTCGTTGCTTGTGATCCTCTTTGGGCTGGTTCATTCGTTCTATTCACCGCTTGAGCCCAGCAACACATTGCAGGTAATATTATAATCTCATATATATATTACATTTTTGGAACATATGTATAATAGAGTATATATTTTTCTAGTTGATCTGGGTAGTGCTGGCCGTGATAAGCTCTCTTTACACGTGGAGCTGGGATGTATTGATGGATTGGGGGCTGGGTCGCCCAGCCTTCAACTTTCTCGGCGACGGCCGCATGTATTCCCGGACTTGGGTCTACTATGGTACATGCTTTGTGTTAATAATATTCCGTCGATTTCACATAAATTTCAAAGAGAAATATTAGCTGCGATCGTAGCCGACTTGGTACTATGCATTTCGTGGACGCTGGCGCTGGTACCTGCGACCGATTCGGTGCCGTTCGTGGAGCTGCTGACGGTGATTCAGCCCGTGACCACCTTCATGGAGCCCATCCGCCGGTCCATGTGGAGCTGCTTTGCCATGGAGAACGAGCACCTGCGCAACACCCTGGGCTTCCGCAAGGAGCTGTTCATCCCGCTGCACTTTGAAAAACAGCGCGCCAAGCTCGAAGACTCGACCGATTACGCCTACAAGTTGGTCTTGTTAGCGGTCGTAGTCGTTGCCCTCAGTGCCCTGACTATCTTTGTCGGCGCCTAAGTCATCGACTAGTGTTAATAGTATTGCCACAACCTAACACGAATGCGAGTAAAACGATTCACTTCTAGTATGTACTAGTAGTCCCTACTAGTACTACTGCATACACTACGTCTAGACTGACAACGGTATCCCATACAAACAACTGCCGACTAGTCCAACCCATATGAAAATCACGACGTATATTAACGGGCAGGGGCGTCTTCGATGACAGTGACGGCGCCAAAGCTGAGGCTCACGACCAATGCAATAATAGCCAGGATAAGCACCTTGTTCTTGCGCTTCTTGCGGCGCGATTCGTCCGTGTGTTCGTTTGGATCTGCGACGCCCACGCCGCGCTCGTAGTGCAGGGGAATGAACTGCTCCTTGCGAAACCCCATCGTGTTGCGCAGGTGCTCGTTCTCGACCGTGAAGAAGCTCCACATGGTCCGGCGCATGGGCTCGAGTAGCATCGAAAACGGATGAATGTACACAAAGAAGCTGTGGTTTAAAGCTTGCTCGGCCGACGGCGGAATCAGCGTCAGCACCCACGCAAAGCAGAGGAAGAAGTTGATCACAATCGCCACTGCAGTGTCACACATACATATATATATGAGAGTGATCACAGTGTCACACACTCATGAGAGTGATGTACGCACCGTAATACAGGGACCGCCGCCGATACATGTGCCGCTCGGCGAGGAATTTGAACTGCGGACGGCCGAGACCCCAGTCCATGGTGAGATCCCAGAACCACAAGATGAACGAAAACACGATGAAGCCTGCGATCCATACTTGCTGCAGCGGCGTGATGTCCTCGGTGGGCTTGGTCGGGTTGTGAAAGGGATGGAAGATCCCAAACAGCACGACAATTTGGGCTAGGGCGAATTTGATCACGTTGCCCACGCCTGGCCACCACAACTTCATGTCGTAAATACGCCGCAAGCTTTGGAGGAACCGAAACCACTAGGTCAATCCCACAGATTCGTTAGATATGGTACATACCACCGAGTGTTCATAACTAATCTCCGCAATCATAACTTAGGACGGTATGATCATGACCAGACATATTCCAACATTACGCACTCCAGAACTCAACTCAGACATAAGGGCACCATTGCATAGGTCAAGTCTACCCCAGCAACGACGCCACACCACATGAACACTTGTCCAGCAACGAGTTCGTCGTACCAGCGGTAGCGTACAGAGCAGCGGCACGACGACCTTGGCGTAGTAAAAGTTGCTGTGGCACTTGGACGGAATAATCGATTGCATCGTGTGGTTGTGGAGGTAGCCCGTCATGCCGTCGGTGGCTTTGAGCGCGTCCATGTCATCCGTTTCGAGAAACTCTCCGGAAAAGAAAAAGCAAAAGCACCACGCTATGTCCTGGTTCATGCGCTGCATGCTGAGCATGTAGTTGCCGAGAAACGTGTGGAAGAACGTGACGGGAAAGAACGGCGCGCCCATGATCTTGCCGATCGCTTTCACGAACCCAATCTTGCGCCGCCACTGCCGAAACACGTAAAAGTACACCATGTACACAAACAGGAACAGCAGGACGTAGCCGCGGTGGGCCACGCGGTCCTCGGGAAACTCGCCGTTGCACACTTTGTAGTACACAAGCATATTGATCAGGTACACAATGCTGATGTGGCCAGCGTCGTGGAACACTTGGTCGTAGTCCTTGGTGTTTCTCGGCTCGAGGTCCATGATGTACATGTAGTTGATGCGCGCCGACCGCCACACGTACATGGAGATGCCCATGAGCCAGTTGAAGAAGATGACGCAGCCGAGACCGCGATAGACAGGGAAGCCTTTAGTGAGGAGGAGGCGGAGGTGATTCTCGTCGCGTTGTATGGACGGGATGATGCCGACGTCCCAGAGTACCCACAGACCGAGCATGAGCAGCATCCCAAACTTCATGCCAATGTACGCCTGGGAGAAGTCTACGTGCTCGTCTTTGCGGGCCATCAGCGCCGCCATCGCAATCGGTCGATTGTTATCGTAGAACGTTCGGCAGAACCACGTTTCGAGGCGGATGAGCTCGTCTTTCGCTTGGATAGCTTTGGAAAACGCACACGTTTCCAGCTTCTCGGCAAACACGTACCTATACGTACACCAGTGGTTACGAATATGTACAATATAGTATAGTAGTAGCGACGACTATGTACCGAATAGATTCCTGGGACTTGCACTTCTTGGCGTGCGATTTGAGGATCTTGGTGAGCCCCGTGTAGTTGAGCAGGGCGTAGTTCTGCAGCATGTTCAAGAGTCGGTGGAGCTCCATGCACGCCGACGTCATGCTCATCTGCGTGCTTTCGTTCATGTCGGCGTGGTACTGCTTTTGCAAAATGTCGAGCTGCTGCTTGTACTCGTCCGCGTGTGCCACATAGAACTTTTCGACCTTGTCGTACTCCTTGATGAACGCTTTCTCAAACGCTTGCGACGTTGCGGAATTCGCACCCACGAGGAACTGCAGCTCCACGACCTTTTCCAGCTGCTGCTCCAGGTCAAACCCTGTCGAGTCTTCGCGGATCGCGTTCACTGCAAACTTGAGCGCGTCGTAGTCGATATAGAACTCACGCCACTCAGTGAACGTGTTGGCTTGAAGCTTGGCCTTGAACTTGATCATGTTCACGGACAAGAAGAAGAAACGACCGAGATGCTATGGGCGTACGCCAAGGATGGGGCAGTGTCAATCACGAAATGGCACTGCCACGCCAAAGATAGATCTCCTCGCCACTCTCAAATTTGCACATTTGTGAAACCGACAGTGTGGCAGTTTCGGATAATTCGTCGTCGTTTAACCGGAATGAACCCGAGTCTACTCGTGGCGGCGGGCGATACAAGGCGGCGGCGGTACAGTGTACTGTAGTGCCAATGGCTTGTGGAAGAAGGACACGCTTAATGAACATGGCATGGGTCTCTATGTGTGAGTTCCTAATGCATCGAGGCACAATTCCCACTTGGCTTCATGCGGTAGATGAGCTTGTGGCGGACGGGAGGCATAAAACATCGTTTGCAGTCCGAGATCGGACGAAAACACACAAAGGATAATCATCACACATGTAAGCAGGCGACGTATTAACACGCAGGTTTATTCCAACGGTTCGATTTCGCCTTCCGGTTCGTCGATTTGGCCGAATTCCCATCGCAAGTCGGGCAAATGGTCGCCGCGCTTGGCGGCCTTGCGCGAACTGTCCGGGTTCGACAACGTGACCGCACCAAGGAAGGCAGTGACCAACGACAACGCACCCACCAACGACCAGAACGCCTTGGACGTGGAGATGTGTGGCGAATCGAAGTCCAGGACCAATTCCGGGGCAACGCTGTCACTCCACACGAGATCACGGTTCAACGGGATGGGCTTGCCGGACGGGACAGGGAGACGAGCGAACGGAGGAGGAGGGGGCGTATGATGGTGTCCGCCTCGGAGGGAGATGGCTCGCGACGCCACGGAGCTGCTGCGGAGAACCGCGGAGAGGCTGCGGGAGCTCATACTAGTCTTCACAAACTGCGCAGTCGCCACACAGCACCACATAAATAACGCTTTCGGATTGGTCCATTTCTCCTATTCAAACCTTTTTCAGCCAATGGAATGTGATCTATCCAATACAAGTCGACGCTATATCGCCTACATATCCTCTACAAAGACATACATTCCCATCATACCTGTCAATTTTTATATACTAAATGGATTTTATTACTGTACTACAGTATTAGTATTCCACATTTCCTGTAGCGTTAGTATTAATACTAGAGTGATTTTGCACCAAGAATCCACACGAATTTTCCAATACAATTTCACTGAAAATCCTTCGGGGAAAATCTTATTGGAAGGTGCTTTTGCTATAGGGAAAATTCACATTTAAGCAGAACTACCGCTGTGTTTGTTGTTGCGCCTCTTCTGGAGCACCTATCGGTAGTGCACGCCTCCCAATTTTTACGCATACCAACAACCCAGTGCAGTAGGTGCAATGTGTGCAGTTTGTGACCTTGCACCATCCCGATAGGCTGTAGTGTGCGTCGTGCCGACGTACAAACACGACCGCTCTCAGGTGGTCGATGAACACAGGGATAGGATGTATCTCTCGGATGCTTTATGTTGGGCATTATCCCGCCGCTTGCCTACGTTACTGTATCCTCGCTCACCTACTAAAGTACAGCTCATCTACCGGTACGTTTGGTGCCGACCATGCCATGTAATTTAGCATGTTCTGTTCAAGTGTTTTGATTGGCTACTGTGTGTGAAAAGGTATTCCCAGTCAGAAATTCTGACAGAATATATTCATCAAGAATTTCCCAATATAATCAGATCGAAAAGCTCCATTGTGAAACTATACAGGAAATATCACGTAGCAAAATCACTCTAGAGAGTGATACTACTTCTAAGTATGATGTTCGGAAAACTCTCGTACTGTTAAATTTATACTTGAAGTAGTTACTATGTAGTACAACTTAAATGAGGCCAACATGAAGTCTATGAGTAATCGGGACAGAGGGAGGAGACAAGAACTTTGCGTTGGCGATCGACATCGAAGAAGTACTTGCCAGGGGACTTCTGTCGTCGATAGACGGCCGCGGCGTTGGCACATGACGGGAATTGGTGCTTGTAGTCGCCAGGAAAATGAAAAAACACGGGTTCGACCCCATTCCACGCAAATTTGGATGGCACGCCGTCGTGAAAGTACTGCGGCGAACATCCTGTGGATGCACATCCTCCATACTCGTTGAAATCCCCTGCACATAGGATCCATGTCATGTACTCGCCATTCGTGTCCTCGCCTACCTGGTCCAATGAGATATGAGATGACAAAGAAGATTTCCGCGGCAGTGTCGATCTTGACGTTGATCTCAGGAGACGTGAGGTACGCAATTTGAAATAACACTTGGTCGCCTTCAAACAAGAACGTCTGGTGCAGCTTGAACTCTTCCTCTTGGGCCACGCGAATCTCAGTCACCCGCCGTAAAAACGCCCGTAGGCTTCGCACGTCGCCTAGAGTGCCACGTCATATACTTGATTGAAATATTCATGAAGATGTCAATTGATTACCAAGGATGCCTCCTGACCCCAAGCTCCAATTCGGCCCTGGTACCAACGTATTCGAAGCTGTCTTTGCGGCAATGGCGCTGCACATGTAATTGCCTCCCACCAGCCTGGGCGTTTGGTTCGGTTCCACCTGAATGTTCCACGCTTTGCCGCGCAGCTTGGCACCGTAGATCCCTTCGCTGTTGAACGAGTCGCCACACGTGGGCTCTCCATTGAAAATGAGCCCGCGCTGGTTCTGTGTGTGTTTCAGAAACAGCTCGGTCAAGCGTTGGGTGCTGGCCTGCACGACCACATCCCACGCATCCGTGAACAGCACCAAGTCGTCATCGTCGAGGTCCGAGGTCTTTTCAACGTAGTGTTCGAGCCAGTGCAGTTTCTTTTGCTGGCCGTACCGGTTGTCGTTGCCTTGGTTTCCGTGGCACGCGGCGCCGCAGGTGGACCCATCAAAGAACGTGGAGCTGTAGTTCCAAGCGAGGACTTCCAGCAACGCGTCGTCTTGAAAGATGGACGACGCCAAGAGGCAGATGCCGCCGTGGGGGTTGTCTGCCAAAGTGACAAATCGGACGCTCTTGGGGGCGAACGGTCCAGAAGACGAGGGAAACGTCGACGACCGGAGTCGGGGCTCGGATGGTGGGGCAATGGGATGAGGTAGCGACGAAGTAGGGGACGTAGTAGTGGGGGCTGGCGTGGCCGGTGACGAAGTCGTTGTAGTCGGTGGTGGAGCAGGTGTAGAAGTGGTAGCTGTGTCGTTGATTGAAGTGGAGCTGGTGGTGCTGGATGGATCAGCAAGGTCATGGCTGTTGATAGCTAGCGCGGAGGACGTGATCGCGAGGTGGTCTTTGGGAGTGACAGAGTGCTGTAGATGGCTTTGCTCGAGCAACACCACGTTCGAGTCCAGGCACATGAGGGCGACTCCGAAACAAACACACACCGCGAGCGCCATGACATATCGAGGGATGGACGACGACGTGGCAGGCGCAGACGATGGAGCGATGGCTTGAGCCAAAGGAATAACGTCCGCGTCGATGTCGCCCATGTCTCATGCACTGGTGCTAGTTGTATTTGTGCTTGCTTAGGATGAAACCGTCAGATACAGAAACACTGCCGTTTCATTCGCTGTCGACAAAACCAACGGTACAGTAGCAAGGTTACAATTTAACAATTAGTCCAAACAAAGACTTGAGGCCATCATGTTGATCGTATATCGTTTGAAAATGCCAAGAAAAACGTGACCTTTTGCCGATTCCGTAACTTTACACTGTACAGTATGGAGTATATATGCAAGCCCTCCGCTCCACCGCAGCAAACAAGTTCCGTTGGAAGGTGCTGACCAAGCAGATTGTCGCCGCATGCCCCCCCAGGGAGCAGCGGGAAACAACAAATAAACAAGTTAAAAATCATTCAATGGTTAACCGAATACAACGGAGACTCGTACTTGATTGCAACCTGTGCAATGTTTACCACCGCAAGAAAGCACGACGGGAGGAGGCTGATACAGTATCGTGTCGAAATATGTTATGCAAAACACCCAAATCGAGCATTGGCAGTTTCGTGTCGAGACATCACTGCCTTCTGAGCAACAGAGGATGCTGGGTAGTATCGAGGGTTCGCAAAGTACGCTCGGACGTCTAACGTTCGACGTATGCGAAGTCCGCAAGCTGTAGGCGCAAAGTTTCCTTAGCTAGCTGATAAACGCGAATAAACGTCACTATACAGTATGTAGTCCAAGCATTCCGGATAATTCGTCAAGGATCCAAGATTGTTTTATCGAGACCAGATTTGTGTCTTTTATGTCATTGTGAATACTGTATCGATATGGAACCGCTTCCTGTAGCCGTTCCTGTTGCGGACAACGTGATGGGCCAGTGGAAGGTTCCAGTGTCCGATGCCAAGGAGTCGTGTTCAGAGAACTGCTTCCCGTGCACGTCCCTCTACGACACCATGTCTCGCGTCTCCAAGAACAGCATGGTGTACCTCGTGTGTTTTTGGATCTGTTTGGGCCTTGGTTGCGCCAGATTGTTCGTCGTCATCATTACTGGCCCCAGTATTCTCTTGGCAGATCGATTGGCAGACCGGTGGTTCCTGATTGTCCTCACACTAGTTGTACCCTCGTTTCTCGCGACAAGTGTCATCGCGGCGGCTCGCTACAAGGTGCGCAGTTACTTCAACATCCCTGGCAGCGTTCCAAATGATTGCTACGCATCGTGTTGTGGGCTTGTCCTAGCCCAAATGAGAATACATAAAGTCGAATCCTTGCCGCCATTCACCACCAATAACTCGTTGCCGGCGTATTCTACGTACCGGTAGCTGGTTGGAATACTATTAATATTATTATTGAATCAATTCTTATCTACTACTACCTCCGTACGAAAATGTTTGCTACAACCCGCAGAAATCGTGGATGCACTTGAAAGAAAATATGTAGATGAAGTATAATGTTCAAAAGGTATGTATTTGTAGAGGAGAAATCATGGATCACCAATAGAAGATCGTCGCACCAAAAAACATCCAATCAAACCAGCAATCATGCATGCAAAGCTCGATACTTTATCCAATAAGTTATTAAATCAGCTTCACAGTCAATAGTCATCTTGGTTTCATTTACAATGATTTCCACTCAAATCAAGACAAAATAGATGGATGGGGCCGTTTATTGTGCACGGCTTGAGCTTAAAATATGTATGCGATGTTTGCTTATTTACTGGCGATTTCATTTTTCTAACGATTCGATTGGCTGCTTTCGAAGTAAAGCAATTCCATTGGCCAATTTGAGTGCATCTTTCTCAGGAGACATTCGATTCTGCTGAGGGCTCCAGTTTCGAATCGATCTGACAATATCGATTTATAGAGCTAACTTATAGCTAACGTTATTTTTTTACTTGATGATTTGTACGGAGCAGTTTTGGACCTTATAGGTTTACGGTTAGCTGACGCGCACTGTACCAACACTGACACACCCAAGGCACTCCAAGTGACTAGTGGTTGGTTTGGAGGGTTGCATGTTAACTCAATAACCCTAATGACACGAATAGCAGTGATGAAAGCTAGACTACTGGAGCTATAATCAGCGACTTTGGATCTAATTGTCCGAGGGGTAAGCTCCGCTATGACCACCCTTGCTGGCCCTGGGCTTGCGCGTACGGCGGGGCTTGGTCGTGGGAGGGGCATTGGACGAGCTGGGAAAGGGTTTGCGGGTACTATAAGAGGGAGAGGTCGGAAACGGCTTGCGTGTCGACGGCGTGGGGGACTGCGACGTGGGCTTGACGTCACCGGCCAAGGCGGGGTAGACCACGGCTTGTTACCGTACTTCGTATGTTAAAGCGATCACGATGTTAAGAGCATCAAGTGGTACATCCTCCATCTTTCTATATTTATCACCCGAAGTGGATATATAATGTTTTGAGGTAAATTGTCAAAAGTTTGCCTCACGGAATTAATTCCTCTCAATTCAAATATATATTGTAAATGAGAGGTGTCTTGGGAACATCACAGCCATCAAACAGTGCATCCAACGTGCCGCGTTGCCGCAAGCGTCAAACTAGTACCGGTAGACAGCCACACGGAAGCACAAAGTGAAAAACTGAGAGCTAGGAGCGTAAGCAAACAGTCAAATGAAAGCCCATTTGAGAGGAAGCATGATTCACTAATATTCAGCAGGTGCATGAGAGGACAATGGAGGGCATGGACCGCACTACACTCACTGTACATTAACGACACTATATTGCAGCAGTGCTGTTTATGTGCTGTATCGATACAGTACTACTACATGTGTGCGTGTACTACTACTACATGTACGGCTTGTGTGATGATCGAGGGGTTAAGGTACCGGTAACGTTACTATCGGTTGTGTGATGGTGGGGAGCGTGAATATGGCGCA